CCTAGGACATAACCACATGCACTTGAGTTTTAATTTTGATTTGGTTCATTTTTTTTCATAGATACCACTTTCTGCAAAAGCTTTACATTTGTGAGCTCTATTAAAATAAAGCTTTTGTTTTTGTGATAGTGGTATTTTCTAACCACCCACTGAAGGACGGCTGCGGCAGCACTTCCCGCTCACTGACTCACTCATCACACACTCCCAGGAATCTGCAGTATGGCGGAGCCTGGAGCCTTGGGTGGGTGGAGTCTGCATAGTGAAATGCTGTGCAGTCAGGAAGGGCTGGGATAGACAGCTACCGCTCCTGTGGCTCCTGTTCCCTCTGCTGAGAAGGCCCCCTGTGGGACCCCAGGGCACCGTGCCACAGCCACCATGTCCAGCACCTGCTTCCTCCTTGCTCTCAGACTGATTCACACAGCACCTGGCCAGTAACCAGCAGCCTCTAGCCAGGGTTTGCTTGCTGAATAAGGGAATATACACAGTAGGGAAGCTGAAAATTGTTAGGTATTTTAACATCATTGGAGACTTTGAGAAAAGTGTTAGTTTTTAAAAAAGGAAAACCAAGCAAATTCTCCAGTAACTGCATTTTTTTTAGTTGTTCCTATTACTGTGTGCAAAGGGTAGGGTAGATTTCTTTTTTGAATAAGTGAAAAAGTAAATTGGTGCAAAAAGCCACAATTTTACTGGATTTAAGTGATCTATCTTTACAAATCTTAAGGGATGCTGTTTTTTCGTTTTCTTATGTGTCTGGGACCAGTTGCTAGAGGTGAGATCCAAGTGCACCCCCATTTAATTTAGAGCTCCATCAGAGCTCCTCCACACTGGGTGGTTGCCTCTCCTTTAGTTCCATGATGCTTTCCATGATGTTAAGAGAGTCCCCTCTGTCCAAGCCTTGTGGAGTCTCTTTCTGGTCCTGAATTCATGCTGTTAGGAACTTTTTTGTGACATGCATTTCCTCTTTCTGAATTTTGTCTATCCTGGGTCTAGTAAAGATCCCTTGAATAAGAGATCCCCCCCCCCCTTTTTTTTAATCAGGGATAGCTTTTGGTTCTGGTGGCCTGAGAATCTTCCTTAGTTCTGAAACCATTGGTGTACTGACTAAAATGCATGTTTATTGATTATACAAGGCAGGAACAAGGAGAAAATCTAGCATGGTTGATTAGCATGTGTGCCATTTTGGAGTATTGAGTTCTCAGAATATCTGTCAGGTATGGTGCTGGTCAGCCTTGTTCTTGGGATGTATTGATTTATACTGTTAGGACATCGGCATGTGGGGCAGCCACTGTCTGTGCACCGACTCTTCACAAGTCACCTTAGCTGGAGGGACCTGGAGGGTAAGATCAGAATTTCCATCAGCATCTATGCCATAGTGTTAGTAAACTGAAGACTGAATATACTTTTTAAATGTATGTAGTATCTCTGTTGTGTTAAGGTGTGGTTAGCGATAACCCAGAGGTGACGGGAAGTGTGCAGGAGGAAGTGTCCCATTTCCATAAGGGACTTGAGCGTCTGTGGCTTTTGGTATCGTAGAGGTCCTAGGTCTAATTCTTCTCGATTCTGAGGGGCAGTGTGATTCTTAGGGAAGGTGATTCCTTCGACTTGGACCCAAGAGACATAGTGTCTTAGGGCATTCGCTGTGTTTAAACCCTGCCTTCCTTCCCTGTCCCATGACTCAAGCTTCTAAGCCTGCTCTTCTGTTGCCTGAGGATTGCAGTGTAGCTCCTGGCCCTGACCTCTGACCTTTGGAAGTCCATTGAGATCTGGTCGCTGAGCCTTTCCCTGACATTGCCCTCTTACCCACATCTGCTCACCCCTAACCTCAACAGTTTCTGTTTCCTGTGTTTCCACTTGTCCCTTCTCCCGGAGGGCTTACACTGCACACACACACACACACACACACACACACACACACACACACACACACACACACACACTCTCCTGGAGGGCTTGCACTACACACACACACACTCTCCCAGAGGGCTTGCACTACACACACACTCTCCTGGAGGGCTTACACTGCACACACACACACACACACACACATACACACACTCTCTCTCTCTCTCTCTCTCTCTCTCTCTCTCTCTCTCTCTCTCTCTCTCCCGGAGGGCTTATATTTCGAACATTCACTTTCTATGGAAGAGTTCTGCACATTAACAACTGATTGATATTTGTTTAATGAATCTACATATGCCATTTGGTAAGTATGAAACTATTACATGTTTATGGAGATAAATATATTATTTTGCCCTCATTCTGGTCAGGCATGGTTGGGCAGCAAAGAATAAAGTAGAGTAGGTAAATAATGGCCCAGGAAAATTGTGTCCAGTGGTCAAGGATGCTATGAATGGTTTAAATGATGGCTTCATTTACTTTTGATGGCTTCTTGCTTTTTTAATTAAAATGAGAGAAACAGTTATTAATAAACATAAATTTTAAAGTTTCCTAACTTGTCTAGTGAGTCTACAGAACAGCAGTCAAGGTGTTGTGAGGAAACTCTTCAATCCTGTCCGACCATTGTTACAGCCTGCAACATTCAAACCTGGATAGTGATGGCGCGCAGCTGCAGTGGGGTCCACTGTCTGCGGGAGAGTTCCTCAGGACTCACAGCAGGGCGGGCGGTCCGTTTGCTTCTAGATAGCTTGTCTGGAAGAGGCTGGCAGCGGGGAGTGCGCTTGCTGTGGAGGCTAAGGTGGGGGCCGAGAGCGAGCCTGCTTCTGTCCGACTTGTTAAGTGAGAGGCAGATCTTCCCCAAGGCAGTGCGGACTATGGTTTTGTTGTCTGCAGCCACGCAGACTAAACAACAGACTCAGGACATTTCAGAATATAACTTTAAACGTTCATTGCCATTCCAGCCTAGCCCTTCGTCATTAGTACTTCTCAGTAATGAACCCAGCTTTAACAGAAACAGACGAACGAGAACCCTATCCTTTGACGCTGAGTTGGTCACGTGTTGTTTATGTTTCTGGTTTTGTGAAGCGGAAGATGGAGTCCACAGTGTACAGGGCCAGTGCTTCTCCCTGGGTTGTTAAAGCCATTTTAGTGTGGCTTGCGTTGTTAAATGTTGAAGGTTTATAGGGGCCCAGTGAAGGAGATGTGTATGGTCTTTCACTGCTTTGAAGTTTATAATAAGGCTTATTTGTGCTAATGTCACTTCCGGATATAGCGCTGACCAGCTACAGTAGGTATGGCATTTGACTGGTACTTTGGGTAGAAATGAGCAGTATTTTCCTGCTGGATCCTTTTCCTGTCTCTTGTTACATTTTCTGTTTTTCATCCTTTGGATTATAAAGACAAATGACTCCTAGTTATGTTACAGAAACTTGGCTCTTTCTTGAACGTCTACTGGTAACTTTCAAACCTTTGCAGCGTTTCTTTCTTTTTCAAATGAAATGGACTTTTCCGAATTTGGTAAGAATGGGCTTTCAGGCAGTTGTATCTGCCATTTGATGGGGACGATTTCATTGCTCAGTGCACAAATGAAGGCCAGTTTGAAAGCTAGTGGAGTGTATGTTAGTGAAGAATGAGGCGGTAACCTTTCATCACTCTGAGACACTTCTGAGAATGCAACTGTCCAAGGACACCCGGCACACACCGGTACCACCCCAGGAGACTACCTATAATACAGAAACGGTGGGCACTGCAGAAGTGGGAACAGCAGGATGGACACACTCCTCCTTCCTCCCCCACATCCCTGTGCCCACCTCCGGCCCTGCCCCGAGCCTCTGCATCAGCCCGCTAGTCGGGTGGACCCCACTGCGTGCTCTAGCCCTTCAGCAGGCATTGCTGTAGCAACTGCTGGGGCCAGCTGAGTGCAAAGACAAATTCCTGGAGTCTACGGACTGAAGTTTTTCGTCACTGATTGAGCACAACTTACGGTTCCTGATAGGCTGTCAGGTGAGAATTGAAAGGGCAGGTTATTTAAATCAGAAAGCAGGATAGTTTCCACCCTGTATTTCAAGTGGATGCGAGCTGTAGGTCTTCATCCCTATCCACACTCTTGGCAAGTGAACTGGTGTGAAATCCGACTTGTAGGGTGTGGCGGTGGTGCGTGGTCTTGTCTGCTGCCTTTGCAGCGTCTGTAAGGTTTCACAAGTGTCGTCAGGCAGTAGAAACAAGAATGGGAGAACCAGGCAGAATAAAGATGTAAAATTCCGTGAGCTGAGATAAGGGAAACATGGACGTTAGCTGTGCAGTGGTGCTTAGGATTCCCAGAATGCGGAGCGCTGGCTTGACCTTTCACCGAGGACCACTGTGCACTCACCTTCCCAGAAGCCACGCTCCTCAGTCCTCAGTGAGGGCAGAGGAGCTCGGGGCTCAGCAAACAGCATTGGACTCCTGGTCACGCCTGTTTCCTAAACAGCTGTACCTAATTAAAGTTTTATCTAATGTTCCACGTGTAAAACATCAAAGCACTAACTTAGTAATTATGCGGCTTTAAAATCAGTTTTCATGTTAACTTGCTCCTCTGTCTTTTTTTTTCTTGCTTTTTAAACAAGGGACTTTTGGATACATGTGAGTTCCAGAAAACAAAAACAAAAACCAATATGGTTACTTATAGGTGGTTCTTCAAGAAAATTGTAAATAGTGAGTTCCATGTGATTTATTTAAAACTCTGGTATTCCCAGAAGGATCAAACATTACAGGGAAATTCAAGTCTGAAGAGAATGTGCTCAGATTCAGATTCAGATTCAGGCTGAGATTCAGGAGTGTTTTAACGCTTCCTTAGGAAGTACTTATCTTCTTATGTGGAGAGGGGCTTGGACTCAAACGGAATGGAACTTCTTTGGCAGGTTCAGATGTGGTTATACGTTATTCATGAATGCCCTTTTAAAAAGTCAGATAACTGAAGTCCCTTGTGAGTTTTAAACACAGTACGGGAAAGTGTGAATTCCTTGTGCCACTAGTCAAAAGTTTGAGAGTTAACTTTCCTGATTTAATATGTAAAAATGATTTTTAAAGAAGCATCAGTTAATACTGTGAATAAAAAAATGCAGGACTTAAAGAAAGATCCACTTCAGAGAAGACATTCCCACCGGAGGAGGCCAAGCCACCGGCTGAGCTGGAGGAGCAGGCTCCCGAGGGGGCAGGTAAGTGTCACTGAAGACTCCAAGCTCGCCTAGCCGGCAGGTATCCACACCTAAGCCACCGTGTCCAACCCAGTGTTCACATTGTTTATAAAATGAGCTACAATTTCTTCCTCTGAAATTATAGTAATTTTGTAATGAAAACGTATGCATGGTTGTTTTAATTTTTGTAATCCAGATTCCAAGGGGTCAACGGTTGTGCATTGCCCAAGACCATGCAGTTAGGTACAGCAGAAGCCACGTGTGTCTTGACTCTAGTTCCCCACTCTTCCCACACTACATTCAAAGTAAAAACTGACACAGACTGTACACAACCTAATCATCGTCATCGTTGGCCGCAAGAATGGATCCAGCAGGGATACTGAGCTCCCATCCTTTTTATATCAGGGCCCTGTCTACACCGAAAGCCTCCCTAGACTTTGTTGTGCTGATTGCCTCCCTGTGGCATCATAGATCAGGTCGTAGTGTTTTCATAAAGGGACTTCGACTCATAGTTTGGAAATGTTGCGGTATTTTAATAAATTGGTGCATAAAATTTTAATCTATTACCACCATTTTCTGCTTGTGGTATGATAATTGTAGATTGCAGTTAGCTTCAGTACTTGTCTTTCTTTGCAGTGCTTAAGAAAATTCATGGTTTCATTGCGCCCTCTATTGGAAGTGCTAGATATGACGTTTATTGGAAATCATTTACAGCCCAAATTGTGCTGATCTATTTGATTTCCTTTGCTTCATTCCTTCAAGGAACAGTATATTAGTCTAAGTTTTATTATTTGTTCATTTCAGAACCCTAGGAGAATTTATTGTTTCCTTTTCACACCTGTGGAATTGGTATATGGCTCCAGAATCCATACTGCTTTTTTGTAAAGGTTTTTAAATTAAATATTTGAATTTGACACTTAATATTTTACTTTGGTACTAAATATTATTTGTAATTTTAAAAAATCTGGTTTTTAAGTGAGTACTGGATCTGAGATATGCCATGTGCTTCCCATTCTTTGTTGTTAATATGATTCTTTGCAAATTTTTGAGTTACCAGATCCACTGGTTTATTGCTAGCCGTCATTCTCCTCAGCCTTTTGGGAGTGTTTTCAGATTGCATTATGCTCTCCCAGTCCTCCTTTTGTTGAGACTTTAGTTCTTTTTTCCTTCTCTGGCTCCTTCCATCTGTTTGGCAAGTGTAGAACTTCTCTCTCAGTAAAATAAAGCCTTTGACTCCCGTCGGCCCCAGCCCCTCTGTTCACGGTAGTAACCACACTTTTGAAAGAACACACTTCGTAGAATCACCCCTTTGCTTTACTTTTTGTTCATGCTTTAACCCGTTGTAGTCTAGCTTCTGCCTCTGCACCATCTCCACGGAAGAAGAAAGACATGTATAGAAGCAGAGACGAAGAGGCAGAGAGTACTGACTGAATTCGGAGCTTGGGCTGGTAACACATGAGTTGGGAAAGTGTGGGACCTGCTTTGTAGTTCTCAGTCTGTGCCGCTCCGGCTTTCCTGTCTAGGAAGTCAGTGAAGAACACACCCTACCTCACACTAGAGCTCTTCGTGTGATCCCATTGGATGCTGTTCTCAGCATGCGTGGAATGGGCCCCAGTGAGGAGACTGTCACAAACCTGGGAGGCAGTGGAAGAAGGGGAGAGACTAGGGCCTTGTATAATATACCAGGATAGCTATGTGGATCCCCAGAGACACAGAAATGAAAACATCTTTATGCTTTAGAAATGTTTCATTAAGCAATTAGCGTAACACAAGTTAAACTTCTTCCCCTGCGTGAATTTATTCTGTCACCGAGGATCTGTACTTTGATGTAACTCCCGTCCTCGGCATTTCTCACACGCAGCACTGATGATCCCAAGATGAGGTCTAGGTTATGTCAAACCCTCACAGTGCCCTTGAAGCAACAACTTCTTTGTTGTGTGACGTTGGGGTACATCTGTGTTACAGTCTGATAAGGACAACGGGGTTGTGGGATGTCATCATTAACGTCCACTTTTGTAAGTCCTACTTATCTGAGCCTGGGGGTCTGACTTTCAGATACACGTTTCTGAAGCTGACAGGGTGGGTGTTCCTTATCACCCATGCTTCAGATTGTGGGTCGGCCATCTCTCCTCACTCTGGTGCTTACTCCACCAATGGGGTCTTCTCCTGACTTGTCAGGAGTGCAGGTGCTTATCACCTTGTTTAGTCTGTGTGGAATTCTGTCTTTTCCAGTACCCCTTTTCATGAAACCTTAGTCCTTGCCTTCTTCTAACGTGAATGGCATTTTATGGAAACTGAAAGCATTTGCTCTTAGACCATTTTTTTTTTTTAAAGGAAAAACAGTCTATGGCTGAATTAGTTTCTTCTTTAAAAGTCCCTTTGAGCCGGGCGGTGGTGGCGCA